CCCAAAAAGTGAGATGAAATTGAATTTTCCCATCAATCCCCGTGAAAATCAATATCCCAACTCTCATAGGTCTATTCTATTTTGAACAAGTGCCACGGAGCGACAGCGCTCATCTAACGTCTACTGCGGTGACTCTGTGGTGGAGTGTGGGATTCTAGTAAACCTGTTAGTCCCAAATGTGTTCACTACATGCCGAAACAGTGGATGCACAGCGATGGTATCAGGAACCTTCTCAAAGGAATGTTTGTTGGGATCGTTATGAAAGTTGCACGAGATGGCGCGTACGTTTAAGTGTCTTCAGATTAAAAATGGAACTCCCATCGTACGTAGTAGCAACAACTATTTGCAAGACAGAATAGGTAAGCATCATCCATTTACCTACGCAAGCCTACAGGCTGCAATAGAGAGCTGCCACCTGTAACTAATTAACGCAGGCAAAAACTACACAGCCACCACTACATGCACTGGCAGTGGCCACTGGCAGTGGCATACGTTACATGTAAAATACTGACAGTACAGAATGCCATAAAATTATAGGATTAAGGAGCATAAACCTTCTTCACCAAATTTAGCTTTGAAATTTCACTGTGACATTGTAGCCTCGTACATCCAGGCATGTATAGATTCTACTAGCAAACCCGGCAGTCAATTCTTTCTAACAGACAGTAAACAAATCCATGTTTAACCCTCCTCTTGAGGGTCAAAAGGTTATCGACACTTACTCTTCGCATGTCAGCAGAAGGGACATTTCATGGTCCTTTCAATAAAGCCATAAAAAATGCTAGGTCACCGCTGAAACAAAAAGTTTTCAATCGCTCCGTCAGACCATGTCCTCAGAAAATGTCTAAAATCTGCCTGTGCCCATTGACCTTTGACCTGTGACCTCCAATTCGGCACAGTGATGGCTTTTCCTACCATGATGCTATACACCGACTATCACGAGCCTAGGTTGAGCCGTTAGATTGTGCCGCAATTCTGCATTTCCTCCCTATACCTTAAGTTAAGGAGTGAATGTTCCCTTTTTACACCTCTTGACCTTTGACCTTGACCCAGCTTCGACATCCCAACTCGTTTTGACGATCCCTCCCGATGTGCGAATATCGTGACCGTACGTCGAGCGGTTAAGATTGTGCCCAACTGTTGACAGACGGACGGACGGACGGCCGGACGATCGTGCGATTCTACAAGCTCCATCTGACTATGTCAGATGAGCTAATAAAGCAAGGATTTAACTTTCGTGAGCAGTGATAAGACTGGGGATTTTGAAAAAAAAATCGTATATGGGGAATGCGTCCAAAATAACCGTCTGAGTTTCAGTAAAATAATGTCATTCTTGGACGAGTTACCAGCCATTTTACAGTAGATGTATGTCACGTTCCATTTCTGTAATAAATATAATACATTAGGAAAGTATGAATAGCGATGACGGATTTGTAGATAAATATCCAGTATTTATTGTCTGTAAAATATTAAATTTTTCCCCATTTTCTTCCTGAAAGTAGGGGAGATGAAAGCCACCCACCCCAATAAGTGTGGGGGGGGGGATATACCACCATCCCCCCGCCATCTACGCCCCTGTCAGATGAACTCAAATTTGACTTTTTGATATGCATACAAATATTCATAATCATAATCTTTGTTAGCAGTACTCTACAGGCGCCGCCGAACGATTTTTCAAGTGGGGTGCTCAATTTGTTATGCTCAACATGTGGCACAGTGGCCAATGCAGGTTTTCGAGGAGGGTGGTAAGAAACAGGCGGGGGTATGCGGGTCCTCCCCTAGAAAATTTTGAAGCCCCCATTTTCCTCCTGAAAGTAGGGGGGGTTAATTGTACACGCCATCCCCCCCATGTCAATAAGTGGGGGGGGGGATGCATCCCCCCATCCCCCCCGCTATCTACGCCCCTGACTCCCGGTATATTGAATGAGCTGGCAATGTGAACAAATAGCTGCTACACCAGTTTAGAAAATGATTCATGATTCTTAAATGAGGCTCTGGGACAGCTAAGCAAGCTAAACACAGGCTACACTCTGAAAAACAAGGTATAGTACTTACTAGGGAATCAATGGCGACAAAGTACCAAAAAATGTAATAATTCCCCCAAATCATTGATTTATTAATGAAACACCAATAAGAGGGACTTAGTTTTGGACAAGGATTACCAGTTTAACAGGAGACTGCAAGTACAATATACATACTTAAGCAGGTAATCAATATTACCACATAATACCCCAGTTTTTGACAACATTTCTATGAGCGGAGTATTCACATCCACAGGGATAGACGAAAGCTGATTTTGCTATGGACAAGATTCTACGGCGACCAGACTTTCAGGTTCGGAAAAGGATCACGTCCATTTGAAAGTGACTGCCCTGTCTCCAATTGTGAGATCACTACGGAGAAAACCATGCTGTCAAAAAGCAAGTACATCCTCGCCGCACTACAACTAATAAAGTTCTGTTTTTTCATTCAATAAACAACGGAGAGATAATGCTTTTGTAGTATAAAACTGTAATACGTATAAATCTAATGACGCTATTGAAATTCATGCAAGCAACATTTTTGGTTGCGAACGTTGTTAATCTTGGATGTTGACATAATTGGCACATTAACCTACTTGATAGATGGGTTGGCATATTTAACAGTGTATGATATTCGCCAGGTGATGCAGTAGTATTTCACATAGAGGAGGACAACTTCACTATGCCTGATTCCGGTCAAAGGTTAAACTTTCAGCGATGGGTTTTCTTTCTAGCCGAGTCACCTCAAAATACACTGAAGGTAAACATTCTATGATAATAGATCTATCTGGGTTAATTGTTACTCAACCGTTCATTCATTCATTTCAGGTGCTGACTGGCACTTCTGTTCTGATCTCTCTCCCCCTTGTGTTATTGCCCTCTACACTGTTTTCGCCAGTGAAAGATCGCCACTCAACAGTGAAGATTGAAAACGTACAGCTGACGTTTCGCCTCCTATATCAGGAGGCTTTCTCAAAGCTGACTGACGATTATCAGTTTTGACCACCAGATGGTGTAGTGGTCAATAGCTTGGTCCACACGTGACTGAGCCTGTATCCCCCCTCGTCACGGTTGATGTTCGGGGTCTTGCGGATCCAGATGGCCTCCTTAATCCAATTCCTGATTTTGATTGGCTCGCGATCGATGATCTTCGAATTTTCCCAATCGATGGCATGATTGTCCTTCGCTATGTGGTCCGTGATTGCGGATTTGGTTATTTCGGTAGCCGAATGTTTTCGTTGGGCCCTTGTGAAAGATTAGGCAATGCATTGTCTACTTATCAAGATTTTCATTTTTACATAGATTTATTTAAATCGACATTTTCTTGCTACTTTATTTTGTTATTTGAAGCAACAAGCATTACTTTTTCCAGAACGAATATTGTGTTCATCTATTTGATGATATTTTATGCTCAACATGAGTTCTCCCCCATTCTACAGCATGCTCTGGTTGGGTAACAAGCAAACTCGAGTGCTAACATAAACGTACATTTATTTATCCATCAACATCCGTCCTGTTTTTATTTCACTCTGCCCATCAGATGAAGGACTTCAGCCAACTGAACAGTCAGTTTAACTGGACGGTCACCTATCGACTGGACTCCGACATCGTCTTCCGATACGGCACCATCGAACGCATACCAGTCTCCCAGCAACACGTCGCGACGTCATGGCACACGCCACCGTCGGCAACAGACGGACGCAATCGCAATAGGAAGCGGCTCGTGGCGTGGTTCGTATCAAACTGCCACACGGCGAGTAGAAGAGAGGAGTACGTCAGAGAGATGCGCAAGTACGTCCCCGTCGATGTCTACGGCAAGTGCGGCGACCTGTCATGCCCGCGCGCGAGCAATATCTGCGACCGACTCCTCGACAACAGCTACATGTTCACGCTAGCATTCGAGAACAGCCTGTGTCGCGACTATGTCACCGAGAAGCTGTTCCTCAGTCTGAAGCGCAACTCCGTTCTCGTTGTCATGGGCAACGCTAACTACTCGTGCATCGCCCCGCCCAATTCCTACATCGACGTCGCAGACTTTGCCTCGCCCAAAGACCTCGCCGACTACTTGGTGTATCTAAGGTAGAACGCTACTGCTTATGGCACATACCTGAAGTGGAAGGTCGACTGGAGGGTGAAGCAGCAAGACATGGTGAAGGCCAAGTTTAGGAATGTGTTTTGTGAGATGTGTGCGAAACTGAACAATCGTAACGAACCGGAGAAGGTCTACATGGACATGCAGAAATGGTGGATGAAGGGAGCAGAGTGCGATAACATGAAAACACACTTGGACGAAACTACAACTTTACCACACACTCAGAGAGTACCACAACTTTAACACACACTCCGAGAGTATCACAACTTTAACACACACTCAGAGAGTATCACATCTTTAACACACACTCAGAGTGCCTAGGAGTATCGTATTGACAAGCGGTTGGTCTTGTTGTAGAGAGCAAGGAATTCTGCTTAATGCAATACCATGAAATTATTCTAGACTCGCAGGCAAAGTAGAATAATGTAGTCGTGAAATAGCACTAGTTTGCCGTTTTTCCGTTGTACACTCTAGGTATTATTAGCTCTTGATATAGATGTATATTGTCATCAAAATACAATACACACAATGCGACTGAAATAAATGCTCCTGTTGTCATGGTCTGGTAAGTTAGTAGGTTGGCTGTGGTACAATCTATTTACTGCGGGGGAATTGGTATGTCTGGGAGCAAATCAAAACACAGTTCGTAAGGATTTAAACAGTAATCCCATCTATAATTTCAAAAAAGATTAGTTTAATTCGATAAATGCAGATGGGATGTTAGAGGCATTTAACCCTTTAATAACACATGCCTTGAGCACGTAATTTGTTGACACATATCACGTTCACAACCCTAATGTGAACGAGCAAAGTTGGTTCCATACCCTACGGGCATACAGAGGTTATCTGCTGCCTTGCCGGATTTATCTAGAGGATGGAAAGAGATCGGGGCAGAAGAGAAAACGTGACGGCAAGCAAGCAACTTGTGCGGGTGATACTAACAGATCTTTACTAACATAAATCCCAATTTGTCTCTGTCATTTGAAGCAACCGAAAAGCCGTTACAGGTGGTTGACATGGAAAATCCGGTTGATATTCAGTCGGACATACAGAATGTAAGTACATCTATCACCGTTGATGTTTGTGAACTAATAATATGTCCCCAAGCTTGGACTAAAAACTTCATATGAACATTTGCCGATTTCTGTTCAACTGCTTTTGGCAACATTTTGTTGTTATAACTTCACAGTGGCATTTTGGTATTGCCATAACGGTATATATATAACAGCACTCTAATACTGTCATTATAGCACGAATGGTCGTTGTCGTATTAGGTACTACCTATATGTACCCGAGGTAGTACAAGTCTGGTACACTTTGTGTATACATATATCATATTATATGTACCTCGGGTACATATATGTAGTACCTGGTACGACAATGACCCCTTCAGCGTCATTATAGTGTAGTAGCAGTCTGTTGTAGCATGTTGTAGTTGTATTCGATTATTAGTAGCATTTCGTAATTGCATTCTATTGCTGTCATTATGTTGTAGTTGCATTCTGTTTTTGCCATGCTGTTGCAGTTAAACTATTGTTGCCATATAATAACATTCTATTGTTGCTGTAATTGCATTCTACTGTTGCTAGCATCTCGTAATTACATTCTGTTTATATGATCGATCATGCTGTAGATGCCTAAAATTCTATCATTACCACCTATTAGCATTATATTGTTGTATGCCAGAAACAATTGACTCTATTAAAACCACAGAAATGCTAGAATACTGCCACAAAACCACAAACACTTCCTATACTGCACTCACTTTTGTATTACTTTGAAGATGAAAGATGGCAAATTGGAATTTTTGGCAAATTACATTACACAAATTCACTACTGCGTGTAAAAATATTCCGTGTATTTATGAGATTCCCTCAAGCAAAGTTAGCAAGAATATATCTGTGAACAACTAGCAGTAAGTGTTTGACGATTTCATGCTCTATATCATAATTGTTTTTGACGATGACGAACGTGAGAAACCATTTTTCATGCGAGATCAGTCTACTCGACTATAAATAGGTAACTCGTCATATGAGTAATCTTCCATAGGGTGCGAGTAGTAAAGATCGGCTGAATAAGAGGGTGGTTGTCCGACTTGACATAATGAATGGTTCAGCGCTTATGTAGGACACATGCCTTCCAGGGTTTATGGGCCACCACTCCTGCAGATATGCGCCTGCATTCATGCATGTAGGCGTGGAGAATTCGTCTGCCCGCTCTCTGATGCATACTTTCACGTGACCGTAACACTAAATGGAGGCAGTGATTTATCTAACTTGTCATCCTCAGCTTACTTAACATGTTCTAGACATTATCTCAGTTCATTTTCATTGGCGTATAGTCGATAAAATAAAACAAGCTGATGTTATTTTCTGATAAGGGGAAAAAATGTGTCTTTCTTGCTAGCAAACAAATCCAACTAAACACTTATACAGGTGGATATGTTAGGGTGTCAATTCAATTGATCTCTATTGATCTTCTTTGCTCATTAGGAATGCTAACCACTAACACCAGTGCACATTATTAGTGTCTTAACGATGTGATGAGAAAACAGCCTCATCACTGCAAGTGTCTATTCACAAAGGTACCTTAAAAATAAAAGTGAACGTTTATGCTGAATAACATTACCAAAACATGATTAGAATGTGTATTTAGAGGCGTCCACATAAGTTCATGATAGGTTTCGGGTACCGGCTTAATCAGATACATCTCGAAGCAAACAACTACAGACAAATGTTACTAACAAGTTGACGATAATCCATCGAAAAGCAAACATCCAAGCAATTCAGACCCTGCCAATTAATCTACTCTGATACATTCTAACTCAGCTGCTAAAGTAAGTAAGATTTTTCAAATTTGCAGCGTGTAGAATCAGCAGGAATGATCATAATTTAAGGAAGGGGTAGGTAATTCAACCTTCGCTCCAGTTAGGGTCAATTACTGTCTGCTCGTAATAAAGCAATAGTAATAAAGACATAGTTCATTGGCCTACGAGCCATAGTGCTATGCCCTACAAAGACATTAATCCGGTTCTGTGCAATGCCCCTCTTTGGATGGTGGCATGACCTGCCATGTTCTCTCTCATGCATACTCTCATATGAGTACCTTAATGGATCGTATAGAGTCGGCATTACCACCTGCCAGTAGTTCTGGTACGTGTACGTATCACTGGTATTTAGAACTCACGTGACTAAAGATCCCCACTGGGGTCCGGGTATTACAGACTTGTTCGTATGGCTTGTGCACTAAAAAATAGCTCTCTGCTTCGTTTTGGTGGCAGTGAAAGAATGCACAGGATGTCTGCTATTGTACAAGTACTTACTGATAAACCGAGCGGCTTATATCGTGCGTGATCTCCTAATTTTTTTTGCTGTTGGAAATGAAACAGTCAGTCATGTGACTCATGTCTCTAGAAGATAAATTATAGGCTAGTATATAAAAACTATAATGATGAAAACACGTCACCATGGCCAGTACGGACAGAATGCGTAATATTAACCATGTTCATTTTTCCAGACGTAAGAAGATCAGAAGGCTACCATGCCTTCACCGCCAATATGAGAAGCAGAAAGCTTCAGTTAGGTGTGCTGCTCACACTTACAGTGCTGTTTGCATGCAGCGCTTTCTACAAGATAGCCGATAACGTGACAGACTACATAAAGAACGGAGTCACGCGGATTGACAGAGGTGAGGGGTACCGCACTGATACCAGTGTGGTGTCCCCTCAGCCAGCCAGCCACAGTTCCCCACATGCACTCACCACATCAGCTACTCACCAGTACTTGAACAGGTAACTGTTAGTACCACACCATCACGCTGACAGGTAACTTTTACGCTGTGGCTATATGTCCGGCAGCCGGACACGGTCTTCGATTTCCTAAATGCCCGGCAGTTCCTAACCCTAACCCTTACTTACTTAAGATAACGCTGAAAATTAAAAACTGCCGGGCATTTATTTTAGGAAATTGAAGACCGTGCCCGGCAGCCGTCAGATATAATTATGCCGGCTGCCGGGCATATAGCCACTCTGTAACGTTTACTATTACATCAATACTGTTAGTTAACGGTAGGTTAGCGATCAGTTAAAGATAACTGCTAGCGAATAACATGCCAGTACTTTAGGAGGTAATTATTAGTACCATACTAGTGCTTTAACAAGTAAATGTTTGTACTACATCAGTAAATAAACTATGAAACAAACGAATCTATACGGATAAAAGGGAGGGCTCACACCTTAAACATGGTTTAATATTATATAAAAGCTATACATGTATATATATATTTAGGAGTGAATAAAAACATGTCTCTATTCACTCCCGGCAGTGGCGTAGACAGGTCCTCAGTTGTGGGGGGGATGATTTCGCTGTGTGTGATTGAAGAGTGTGCGCGAGTAGCGTATACCGCGAGCGCCTTGGCGCAAAGCCCTTAAGGGGTGGGGTCCAGGGGCCCGCCATAGGGCCCCTGGCAGGGTGCAGGGGCAGAGCCCTCGCCCGGAGTTCAGGGGGCGGAGCCCCCGGAAGCTCTTGGATTTTAGCAATTTAGAACCTTCAAGATGGCCGTTTTTGAGGTAATTGAAAAAAATTGATATTGTAAGTGCAATTTTGTGAATTCTAGGTTATTTTTTTTCTTTGATCCAAAGGTTTATAACGCACCCCCCCCCAACCACACCAACCGGTGGTGGATCAGAAGAAAATTTAGGGGGGCGATCATCGCGAGCTCCAAGGTCATGAAGCGCCCGGGGGGGGGGGGGGTCCCCTCCACTGTGTGGAATGTTAAATAGTTGCAATCTAAAAGCAATCTTTTGGACATTTTATCATAGATATCAAGATTTTCCTCCTTCAGGCGTGTCGCCTCGCTGTTTGGGGGGGGGGCCGGAGATTTTGTTGAAAGTAACACCTCTTTGATGCAATTTCCTGCACTATGAGGCAGCCACTATTAAACAATCTTCATCACAATACATCACTGTTGAGTTGAGTATTATTTACCTTTGGGGACACCAAGACTAAAACTTACTACCAAATCTGCTGATGTACATGTCCTCCCTGGGGTACCAGTGCAGACTTACCTAGGCTAAAATACCTTGCCCAGAAAATCTAGGGGGGGGCGACCGCCGTACTACCGACCCCCCGTGACGAACTCAGCACTGGAATCATCTCCTCTGAATTTTGCATAAAACGTATTTTTACTGAGAACGTTAAAACTGCAAAAGCACAATGAAAAAACAACCAGATTTGAACCAAAAGTGCATATTTTCCACCCTATACATATCGGGAATATACCTCCGGTCGGGTCTCAGCACCCCATCCCCCCCAAAAAAGTGAGATGAAATTGAATTTTCCCATCATCCCTGAAAATCAATTCCCAACTCTCATAGGTCTTTCTAATTTTGAACAAGTGCCACGGCGACAGCGCTCATCTAACGTCTACTGCGGTGACTCTGTGTGGAGTGGTGGGATTCAGTAAACCCTGTTAGTCCCAAATGTGTTCACATACATGCCGAACAGTGGAATGCACAGCGATGGTATCAGGAACCTTCTCAAAGGAATGTTTGTTGGGATCGTTATGAAAGTTGCACGAGATGGCGCGTACGTTTAAGTGTCTTCAGATTAAAAATGGAAACTCATCGTAGAGTAGCAACAACTATTTGCAAGACAGAATAGGTTAAGCATCATCCATTTACCTACGCAAGCCTACAGGCTGCAATAGAGAGCTGCCACCTGTAACTAATTAACGCAGGCAAAAACTACACAGCCACCACTACAGCCTGGCAGTGGCCACTGGCAGTGGCATACGTTACATGTAAATACTGACAGTACAGAATGCCATAGAAATTATAGGATTTAAGGAGCATAAACCTTCTTACCAAATTTAGCTTTTGAAATTTCACTGTGACATTGTAGCTCGTACATCCAGGCATGTATAGATTCTACTAGCAAACCGGCAGTCAATTCTTTCTAACAGACAGTAAACAAATCCATGTTTAACCCTCCTCTTGAGGTCAAAAGGTTATCCGACACTACTCTTCGCATGTCAGCAGAAGGACATTTCATGGTCCTTTCAATAAAGCCATAAATGCTAGGTCACCGCTGAAACAAAAGTTTTCAATCGCTCCGTCAGACCATGTCTCACGAAAATGTCTAAAATCTGCCTGTGCCCATTGACCTTTGACCTGTGACCTCCATTCGGCACAGTGATGGCTTTTCCTACCATGATGCTATACACCGACTATCACGAGCCTAGGTCGAGCCGTTAGATTGTGCCGCAATCTGGCATTTCCTCCCTATACCTTAAGTTAAGGAGTGAATGTTCCCCTTCTTTACACCTCTTGACCTTTGACCTTGACCCAGCTTCGACATCCCAACTCGTTTTGACGATCCTCCCCGATGTGCGAATATCGTCCGTACCCGTCGAGCGGTTAAGATTGTGCCCAACTGTTGACAGACGGAGACGGACGGCCGGACGATCGTGCGATTCTACAAGCTCCATCTGACTATGTCAGATGAGCTAATAAAGCAAGATTTAACTTTCGTGAGCAGTGATAAGACTGGGGATTTTGAAAAAAATCGTATATGGGGAATGCGTCCAAATAACCGTCTGAGTTTCAGTAAAATATGTCTTCTTGGAACGAGTTACAGCCATTTTACAGTAGATGTATGTCACGTTCCATTTCTGTATAATATATACATTAGGAAAGTATGAATAGCCGATGACGGATTTGTAATAATATCCAGTATTTATGTCCTGTAAAATATAATTTTTCCCCATTTTCTTCTGAAGTAGGGGGAGATGAAAGCCACCCACCCCAACTAGTGTGGGGGGGGGGATATACCACCATCCCCCCCGCCATCTACGCCCCTGTCAGATGAACTCAAATTTGACTTTTGTATATGCATACAATTCATATCATAATCTTTGTTAGCCAGTACTCTACAGGCCGCCGCAACGATTTTTCAAGTGGGGTGCTCAATTTGTTATGCTCGACAGTGGCCAATGCAGGTTTTCGAGGAGGGTGGTAAGAAACAGGCGGGGTATGCGGTCCTCCCTAGAAATTTGAAGCCCCCATTTTCCTCCTGAAAGAGGGGGGATAATGTACACGCCATCCCCCCATGTCAATAAGTGGGGGGGGGATGCATCCCCCCATCCCCCCCGCTATCTACGCCCTGACTCCCGGTATATTGAATGAGCTGGCAATGTGAACAAATAGCTGCTACACCAGTTTAGAAAATGATTCATGATTCTTAAATGAGGCTCTGGACAGCTAAGCAAGCTAAACACAGGCTACACTCTGAAAACAAGGTATAGTACTTACTAGGGTCAATGGCGACAAAGTACCAAAAATGTAATAATTCCCCCAAATCATTGATTATTAATGAAACACCAATAAGAGGGACTGTTTTGGACAAGGATTACCAGTTAACAGGAGACTGCAAGTACAATATACATACTTAAGCAGGTAATCATATTACCACTATACCAGTTTTGACAACTTTCTATGGCGGGATATTCACATCCACAGGGATAGACGAAAGCTGATTTGCTATGGACAAGTTCTACGGCGACCAGACTTTCAGGTTCGGAAAAGGATCACGTCCATTGAAAGTGACTGCCTGTCTCCAATGTTGAGATCACTACGGAGAAAACCATGCTGTCAAAAGCAAGTACATCCTCGCCGCACTACAACTAATAGTTCTGTTTTTTCATTCAATAAACAACGGAGAGATAATGCTTTTGTAGTATAAAACTGTAATACGTATAAATCTAATGACGCTATTGAAATTCATGCCAAGCAACATTTTTGGTTGCGAACGTTGTTATCTTGGATGTTGACATAATTGGACATTAACCTACTTGATAGATGGGTTGGCATATTTAACAGTGTTGATATTCGCCAGGTGATGCAGTAGTATTTCACATAGAGGAGGACAACTTCACTATGCCTGTTCCGGTCAAAGGTTAAACTTTCAGCGATGGGTTTCTTTCTAGCCGAGTCACCTCAAAATACACTGAAGGTAACATTCTATGATAATAGATCATCTGGGTTAATGTTACTCAACCGTTCATTCATTTCAGGTGCTGACTGGCACTTCTGTTCTGATCTCTCTCCCCCTTGTTGTTATTGCCCTCTACACTGTTTTCGCCAGTGAAAGATCGCCACTCAACATGAGATTGAAAACGTACAGCTGACGTTTCGCCTCCTATATCAGGAGGCTTTCTCAAAGCTGACTGACGATTATCGTTTTGACCACCAGATGGTGTAGTCGGTCAATAGCGGTCCACACGTGACTGAGCTGTATCCCCCTCGTCACGGTTGATGTTCGGGGTCTTGCGGATCCAGATGGCCTCTTAATCCAATTCCTGATTTTGATTGGCTCGCGATCGATGATCTTCGATTTTCCCAATCGATGGCATGATTGTCCTTCGCTATGTGGTCCGTGATTGCGCGATTTGGTTATTTCGGTAGCCGATGTTTTCGTTGGGCCCTTGTGAAAGTTAGGCAATGCATTGTCTACTTATCAAGATTCATTTTTAATAGATTTATTTAAATCGACTTTTCTTGCTACTTTATTTTGTTATTTGAGCAAACAAGCATTACTTTTCCAGAACGATATTGTGTTCATCTATTTGATGATATTTTATGCTCAACATGAGTTCTCCCCATTCTACAGCATGCTCTGGTTGGGTAACAAGCAAACTCGAGTGCCTAACTAAACGTACTTTATTTATCCATCAACATCCGTCCTGTTTTATTCACTCTGCCCATCAGATGAAGGACTTCAGCCAACTGAACAGTCAGTTTAACTGGACGGTCACCTATCGACTGGACTCCGACATCGTCTCCGATACGGCACCATCGAACGCATACCAGTCTCCGCACACACGTCGCGACGTCATGGCACACGCCACCGTCGGCAAACAGAGACGCCAATCGCAATAGGAAGCGGCTCGTGGCGTGGTTCGTATCAACTGCCACACGGCGAGTAGAAGAGAGGAGTAACGTCAGAGATGCGCAAGTACAGTCCCCGTCGATGTCTACGGCAAGTGCGGCGACCTGTCATGCCCGCGCCGAGCAATATCTGCGACCACTCCTCGGACAACAGCTACATGTTCACGCTAGCATTCGAGAACAGCCGTGTCGCGACTATGTACCGAGAAGCTGTTCCTCAGTCTGAAGCGGCAACTCCGTTCCGTTGTCATGGGCAACGCTAACTACCGTGCATCGCCCGCCCATTCCTACATCGACGTCGCGACTTTGCCTCGCCCAAAGACCTCGCCGACTACTTGGTGTATCTAAGGAAGAACCGCTACTGCTTATGGCACATACCTGAAGTGGAAGTCGACTGGAGGGTGAAGCAGCAAGACATGTGAAGGCCAAGTTTAGGAATGTGTTTTGTGAGATGTGGTGCGAAACTGAACAATCGTAACGAACCGGAGAAGGTCTACATGGACATGCAGAAATGGTGGATGAAGGAGCAGAGTGCGATAACATGAAAACACACTTGGACGAAACTACAACTTTACCACACACTCAGAGAGTACCACAACTTTAACCACACTCCGAGAGTATCACAACTTTACACACACTCAGAGAGTATCACTTTACACACCTCAGAGTATCACATCTTTAACCACACTCAGAGAGTATCACATCTTTAACACACCTCAGAGAGTATCACATCTTTAACACACACTCAGAGAGTATCACAACTTTAACACACCCAGAGAGTATCACATCTTTAACACACTCAGAGTATCACATCTTTAACACACACTCAGAGAGTATCAAACTTTAACCACACACTCAGAGAGTTCACTCTTTACACCACTCAGAGAGTATCACATCTTTAACACACACTCAGAGAGTATCACATCTTTAACACACACTCAGAGAGTATCACATCTTTAACACACACTCAGAGAGTATCACATCTTTAACACACACTTAGACAGCACCACAACTTTAACACGCACTCAGAAAGTACCACATCTTTAACACACACTCAGACAGTACCACTACTTTAACACACACTCAGACAGTGCCATAACCTTACCAACTCCTTTATTAAGGACATACGATATTAAATTAAAAATAAACCTGATACTACACATGACTATTTGGGTAAATTAGGACTCACCATACACACAGTTCGTGGAGGGGCCAAATGCACACACACATGCACATTCTGCTGCTACTGTGAAGTTGGCCAGGCCCCACTGAGACTCGACATACTGACCAAGAAATCCCATCTTCTGAAACCTGCCAACAAAAAACGAGGTGAAGTTAATGCAATGTAATTCAATACATGAATGCATGCATGCAATGTCGTTCAATACAATAACAGGATGTACCTTCAACTAAGTACATAACTGCAACTGATGTATACACGAAAGTACTTATTTTAAACTCATACTTGTATAATTTATAGCTTAGGTGTCTGCGTGAATTTATACTACATGAATTTGTGGAGCGACACATACTTATACAATTATAGCTAATGTCTATCTGCATGCATGTAAGGCGGATGAATATTTGGATACACAACTATAGCTTGATCACCAACTCTGTGCGCTTAAAGTGTGGGATAGATCTGTGGAGAAATATATGTTTATATGATAGCTATTGCTACTTTGTTGGAGGTATTAATATGGGGATCCTTACGTTGAGCGTCGGTTCAGACTGCTGTCTTTCAGAGCGAAAATGTGAACAGTTCCTTTATCACTAGAAGAGCACAGATACGCTGAGTCGTGACTGAAGTTGATGCTGAAACACATCATGTTTGAGAATAACGTCTACTTACACTTACAGATGACGTAGTGTATACTATATACTTACAAAAGGTGCTCAATAATAATAACACATTTACACACTATATGTTCATTCTTAAACAATTGTAATTACACAAACCGACTTTCTATACTATATCACTCTCTTTATCGAAAATAGGTTTGGAAAACAAACGTAATTACTGGAGTAACTTTGCATGTTCAAATTTTATGTTAATACAGTGTTGTGAGTAATAGAAACACATACCAGTAGAGTGTGGCTGGATCTGCACCTCTCCTCAGTTCTGCTAGTTGTACTCTCTTTGTCGTGTCAAACACCCTGATTAAGGTACCCTGAAATGCCCGCAGTCAGTTAAACAACATACCATAAATTACAATTAATCTGGTCAATTCAACACTGGAACAGGGACACGAAACTGTAACAACCAACCGGGGCGCTATACAGCTTACCCTGAAACGGAGCCACCTCGTTGAGACATCAATTACCCTGATACTCCAGATTATTTTACATTTAATAAAATACACCAGCATACCATTACTCACCTGGCACGAATAAACAGGATGTTTCATGATATAGTTTCTCTCTTAATATATTATATTCGCTGCAGTGATTTACCTTTCGCGATGCTGTTGCCACCATGCTACCTTGTTGGTTTATGGCAATGCATGCCAACTCCCCCTGGTGGGCTTTTATCGTAACAGGTGAGGTGGAAATATCTGGTTCCAGTAGGTTTAAGTCAACTAGTTGTAGACTGCCAGACTTGTGGGCCGGAAATACCATCAGTGGTTTCTCTGAGCTGGGGCATACTTCACATAATCCTAGATGCAACATGAATGACAATTTCTTACTAATACTATACAATCTTATTGAATTTCGATCCTTCCTTCGATTTTCCCTGATCTTTACACTGAGATTGTATAAGTGCTAAAAGTGACATGAAACTTGTAGTGCTCACTAACCTCGCGGGTTGTCTCGTGTGTCCAGAGTCAACATTCGCTGGGGCACATTGGGGAAGGAGAAAACGTGGATCTGATTCCTAAGCACCACCACGATTCGATCTCGCCTTAGTCTCACGCCAACCACCGGTAGCGTGAAGGTCAACTCGAGGACAAACCTCTTCTCAAGGTCATCCCAAATAAGGACTGAACATAGAAACAATAGATTACAAATTATTTTCTAGGAATTTATACTGGCAGCATTACCTCTACATGTATAAGTTTCAAAAAAAGGAATGATAAATGCAATAAACCAGGCTAATTGTTAGTTGTAAACAGTTGTAAACAAATCTAATTATAACAATACTATCTATAACAATTAAGTCATCGCATGCGATGTTGGATAATATCACTAATTTAAATTTTTTTTAACATTAATCATAAAATACATAAATAACGAGAACTACCACACAGTTTATGCATATAATATACACAATATATACGATATACACACGACATACACAAAATATACTTATATATGAAATAGGTTTTACACTTGTAACATATATATGCACATTATTACCTGTGTTCTCTGCATATTTCGGCAAGGCTCCACCTCCCACTATTGCAATTAGGTTTGTTCTATGGAGCATTTCAACAGTGCCTAAACTGCCAACCGTCTCAACAGCTGTAATATGTTAAACCAAACTGAGTACATGGTAATGAAAGACTAATATTGTCTATCGTATGACGGTCAAGTCTACATTAAGAAGCTGTCCTACTCCCATACTCGATCTTACTCTTAGTACGGCTCATAGGGTCTATGTCCCCCAGGGTACTGCCGGAACATACCCTGGGTACGGTCCGGTATACAGGAACGTACCCTGGTCACTATTTGATATGGTTAGGGTTAGGGTTTGGGTTAGGGTTAGGGTTAGGCAGTAGGCATAGGCGACTCCCTAAACTCGTTAGTGGAGTAGGCGAGGTACGGTCCGGCATATTAGATAGTACCAGGGCAGGTTACGTTCCGGCAGTACCTTGGGGGACATAGACCCTTTCAGCCTTAGTACGCAGGGTCGCATACGCATCTGGGGCCATTGCCAGAATAGTTACAGCATTATAACTAAATTTCAAAAAAAGAGTTGCACAAAAGCTATGACATTCCAGCCTTATGATAGTCATAAGTATGTAGTTTGTTTCTTGTCAATGACAGTGACAAAATTACTGCAATTATAAGATTTAGGGGTGCATATAGACAACATGAAGACATTTTATATTAATACTAGCTGCGGGTACCCGCTGCGCTGGGTAAAATCGTGCTACTAATTCATAGTACTATAATAATGGGACAGCATAGGAACATTGGGTAAAAATCGACAATAACATTGCAGACAATATTAATATTTAGAAATGAGTGTAATAAGATAATAAGCATGGGAAAAACGAAAGAACTGTTACGTATGACATTTATATGACAGCACAACCGAACTTAGAACCCCTGGGACATAATAGTAATATGGTGTAAATGACAAAAAGTTATTATAAGAGCATGTAGGAATGGGTTGGACTTTTCATTTGAAAGCTTCTTGATAAAGAATGTTTTTCGTCTTATTCTCTGGTGCAAATATGTAGAGATTCCTGGCGTCTCCAACTCTTGAGCTCCCCACGTACAGCTATCCATTGTGAGATCGTAGCATGAATAAAAGGAATATAGTATCAGGAGCTAATAATGACAAATTTGTCATTATTAGCTGCTCATAGTATAGATAGAGACACGCAACCATGCACATCGAAATAAAGAAATTTTCCTACTGCATCAGAAACTGCATAGCTTTCGAATGGTACAATGCATTCTGAGATCGCATCTGAACTGAAACTCTGAGCTGAGTGAGTAGTACCTCTGAACTGGTGAAACTGGTGCTGGTTGTGGTGTGTTTTAGTATTGGTTTCGGTTTCACAATACCAGCAGCCGGATGAGGTGAGGGAATCGATTTTTCTCTGTGTGGCAGCACTGTACAGTCAGTGCTGACATTGTGTGAAGTTTGACAAATTGACGGGTTTTCACGGATTTTTCGGTGAGTTTGACGGTTTGACAGGTTTTTTTCATCTAGGAACACTCCCCGGGTATAAGAGATGGCCCTGTGAAAATTGCATCCAGATCGCTTGGGCGGTTTGGCCGCCTATAGGGAAGATACATACATACATACATACATAGATACATACGAACTCAAATATATATTAGATTATAGGCCTATTGTAAATATTTCTGACAATATGTGCTGTTACTACTACTAGTAGTACTACTTGTATACAGTTAAACCTCGATTATCCGAACGAGACGGGCGGGGAGTATTTTGTTCGGATAACTGATTGTTCGGATAACTGACCTGATCGCTGATTTAACTGATCTATTCACGCGACCTTGAGATCTTGTTCGGATAATTGATGTTCGGATAACCGAGGTTTGACTGTACTGTGACATTACCAATGTCTAAAAACACATCCTACATTTGTGCATGGCATATATATACTTACCTAGCCTCTTTTTCTCAACCAGTGGTTCCACATTAAAAATTCTCATACCAGTCTCCATAGCACATGTAAAGCAACCTATGTAAAGGGGAAACGAATGATACCAGCCAATTAGTTGCATAAATGTGATTAAATTACAACACAAGTAATTAAGCATAACATGAACACTGAATTGTTCCCATTGAATTATTTTATTTATACTGTACCATACGGCATGCTGCGTATAACATCAGTGTCATCACAGGCACTTGGAGCGTTTCAATAAAATATAATGCTAAATAAATACGAAATCTATTTTCTACCAAAGTCTTAATGATTCTCTACTCTCTTTCACCTATTATTACCGACAATTTCCTGTAAATACCGTCCAAATGCTCATCTGCAACACACACTGGCTGCCGCATGCTAGCTGCTGCACACTGACACCACAGGCACTTGGAGCGTTTCAATAAAAGATAATGCTAAATAAATACGAAATCTATTTACTACCAAAGTCTTAATGTTTCACTACTCTCTTTCACCTATTATTGCCGACAATTTCCTGTAAATGCCGTCCAAATGCTCATCTGCAACACACGCTGGCTGCCGCACGCTAGCTGCTGCACACTGACACATAATATATTCTAGACTTAGCCTCCCTAGTCTGAAATTTGCATCCTCATATTCCGCCTTATTATTATTAAAAATCATGACTTGAGACTTGTCTTCGCCGTATATCATTTTGCAGTCTTCTGCAAAGCCTGCCGTCACATCTAGTAATTCCTGCAGTTCCCTTTTATTGTCTGCTATCAAGACCACATCATCAGCATACAGCATCCCTGTGGTTCTTTCCCTCCCTACACCTAGTTCTTCATTTTTCCTTTCTAATCTATGAGATAGCTCTCTTATATCTATGGCAAAGAGCAAAAGTAGTAGTTTCCTTCTATCTATCCAGTCGTATGCTTTTTAAAGTCTAGGAAAGCCACATATAGGGTTGATTTCCTGTATTTTGCCCTCTGTATGCTTTGGATCAAAATATAAATGTTGTCACTAGCTTGCGCATCTGTCCCTTCTAAAGCCATTTTGGAGTTCCCCTAGAAATCCGGAGTCTTCCAGCAAGTTTTTTAGGCGAGTCCTAAGGATTCCTGAGAATATTTTACCCACATTACTAGTTAGTGCTATTGGTCTGTAGTTTTTTAAGTTTTCTATCCAGGTTTTTTCCTTTGAAGACTAGCGTGACTCTGCTATTTTTCCAGCTTTCCGGGAATACTTCGCTCTCTAAAATCTTGTTGAATATTTAAGCTTTCCACTAATGTTTTCCCACCATGCTTTATGAATTTATTTGGGATATCATCCCACCCACATGCCTTTTCCGGCTTTGCCACCTTTATCCTACCTATAACGCCTTCTATGGTTACGCTATTTGTTAAGTCTGCCGCTTTATCCATTTGGAAGTATACTTCCCTGTTTTGTAAATTTTTGTCAGCCAGGCACGCTCCTTTATCTTCATTTGCCTCTTTCCAATGTTTTGTCATTTCCACTATCGTTTTTTTTTTTTTCATAGCTGAGTTTGTCTCCTCCATTCCTGACCATGTTCCAAAAGAGTTTCGCACTCGCCGTCCCTGCACTTCTGATCGACTCTATCTGGTTTTCTTCAAACTTCGCTCGTTTTTTCTCAATTATGTATTTTGCTTTATCTTTGGACTCCTCATACACTTGCCTAGTTAGTCTTAATTCCTCTTCGTTTACTTGTTCCCCTTCGAATTCTAGTTTTCGTATTTTTCTGTACCTTTCTGTTGGCCTCCTGTCTCTCTTGTCTCGCGCTTCTACAGCTTTGGTCAAACCAAGGTCTATCCTTCCTCACCCCTGCTTTTGTCCATAGCTTTTGTTCTCGCCTCTGTGAGGGCCTTCAGCGCCCTTCACTATAGACCTCTCCAATGTTGCAGCATCCTCATAGGGCGAGCATTTTGTCATTACTTTATTTAGGTTCCTTTCACATTCCCTTTGGAAGGCTCCCCAATCGGCATCTCTGGTTTTCCATGATTTCTTTATACTATAGTGAAATCTCTGATGCTATCGTTCTTAAATACCTTTAGTACCAGGGTGATTACTAGAGGGAAATGGTCTGTAGTTATGTCTACTTGCCCTTCGTCATAAATGTCTATCTTTTTATTTTTTTATATAATTATGGTTCCAACTTTCTATTCACAAGTGCATAGTCTACCACAGATTTGAGGTTGTTTCGACTCCAGGTATATTTGCCCTTACATCTTTCATCCTCGTTTAATATTTTTACCCCAGAGGTCTCTGTGAAATCCAATAGCAGTTGCCCATTTCTATTTATACTACTACTACTAGTACTGGTCATAGGGTCTATGTCCCCCCGGGTACTGCCGGAACGTACCCTGGGTACGGTCTGGTATACCGGAACGTACCCTGGTAACTATCTGATATGGTTAGGGTTAGGGTTAGGGAGTAGGTGTAGGCAACTTCATAGCTCTAGTACTATAGCCCACGTACAGTTGCCGCTGGGCTATAGCATCAGCCATTACGAGTGCTCGGGACCAACTTAGTCGCGTTAATTCTCGGCTATAAAACGTCTGTGGTAGGCAATTAATGCCTCTTGTCCGAAGTAAATATGTCTTAAGTTACAACCGCTACTGTTATGTCCTCGCACCTCGGTTCTATGCCCGGCTCACGGCCTTAGTAAAGGACTAATATTCAATAGCTTGTCGTATAATCATCCATCTTATATTTCTCTGGTAGAACCGGGTGGCGGCGCCACCGTACAGCGGTAACTATTACTCTATTGAAAACCTAATACATTTACAGCTACTAAAATTTAACCTCTAACTATCGTTGCAATGGTATACTTGCGGTTTTTCTTGTGAACGAACATTCGATTTGCGAACTTCAAACGGCCATTTCTGGCAGCGCTGCAGCAGCGCCAGTCAGCGGGAACTATGTATTTCCGCACGTGGAGGGGTGGGCGGGATGGGTTGGTTGTGGACAAAAACATTGTTCTTGTCAAGTAACAAATTAAGCGATCAAAAAAGATTGTAATATTAGTTTTGTCATGAAAGATGAAAGATGACCGGCAGGCAAGTAGTATCAGTGCGCGCGCAAATACGCAGATACATTTGAGGGCCGTAGCACAGGAACATCACGGGAAATTATCGCGCGTAGCAATGGTGAGAAACAGTCGGAAACGGGCGAGTAGTGTCGCTTAAACGCTGTTTTTTCCATACTTCCTGTAAAGTGACATAATGTTTCTCGGTGGAAATGAACAAACAACACCTTCAAGAACACCCCTGTCGATTTTAAAAGGCCTACCCCCCCCATTTACGAAAATGACATAGGTCTCAATCTGGACATCATCTCTATCCTTGAACCGGCAAGGGCTCGCAGGCTATAGTACTAGAGCTAGCGACTCCCTAGACTTGTTAGTGGAGTAGGCGAGGTACAGTCCGGCATATTAGATAGTACCAGAGGCGTGTTCAACAGAGCGAACGCTCGATGATGCGAACGCTCGCTGCACGAACGCAGCGCCTCGTGAACGACACACGAGCACTCGCTGTGCGCTGGCTTTATCCAAGATGGCGGCCCCCATGGAGGGTCACTCAGCAGATTTTAATCGCGAGATTTTAATGTCTTCGAACAAGTACTGTTAAACGAATTAGCAGACGAAATTGATACGAATTGAATTTAGAAGTAAATGAATGAATGAAAAATGAAATGAAGTTGAAATAGATTGCAAATTGAAGTCAGAAATGGTAGATTCGCATTTGCCAGATTGCCCGTCACCATCTTGAAAACAACTCGCGCGCTGCGCGAACAGCCTCTGCACAGGGACTTGGAACGTCTCAATAAAAAAAATAGTGTTAAATAAACACGAAATGTACTAGTCTTAATGTTTCTCTACTCTATTTCGCCTATAATCACCTGTAAATGCCAGTCAAATGCTCATCTGCAACACACAAGTACACCGCACGCCCGCCATGTGCACAAACAACATGAATAAGAGAGCAGGTAGGAAAGCGTGATCGCGAAATTCGCTCGACGCTCGCTTCATTTCACACGATCACAGAACGAAAACACATCCAACAGCTCCCATCTTGGTATCTATGTGTACACAAATGTTTACTTGTTCGAATTATAACTCTGGCCTTTGTTCTTACCTACTCCCGCCAGAGATATCTTGTGAAATCCTGCAGGAAATGTTCTCTCCGTGAAAATGTAAAGAGGACGAGATGTCTGTTTATACACGAGTAATGGAGCGCATTGCATGCCGGGATGAGCTGCTGCCGGCCTCCGAGCTCCATTTCGAGGCTCGCCAAGCCAAGCACAATGCGCGCAGGAACGACGTCTCGCACACACTACAGTGATCGATCGAAAGTCGCGCCGTTAGGTTTCGGATGATACGTCCTCTTTACATTTTCACGGAGAGAACATTTCCTGCAGGATTTCACGAGATATCTCTGGCGGGAGTAGGTAAGAAAAAAGGCCAGAGTTATAATTCGAACAAGTGAACATTTGTGTACACATAGATACCAAGATGGGAGCTGTTGGATGTGTTTTCGTTCTGTGATTGTGTGAAATAAAGCGAGCGTCGAGCGAATTTCGCAATCACGCTTTCCTACCTGCTCTCTTATTCATGTTGTTTGTGCACATGGCGAGCGTGCGGTGTACTTGTGTGTTGCAGATGAACATTTGACCGACATTTACAGGTGATTATAGGCGAAATAGAGTAGAGAAACATTAAAACTTTGGTACATTTTGTGTTTATTTACCATTAATTTTTTTATTGAGACGTTCCAAGTGCGTGTGAGCCTCTGGAGCTTGCGAGCGCAGTGTCGTTCAGAAGGCATTCGCTCTCCTGAACACGCCTCAACGTACGTTCCGGTATACCGGACCGTACCCAGGGTACGTTCCGGCAGTACCCTGGGGGACATAGACCCTCTCAGCACTAGTACTACTACTACTACTAGTACGTTGGCATAATCATCAGTATGTTGATGGTGGCCAATATAGCGTAGAAGTAGAAGAAGTACTAGTACTACTGCTGATAGAGTCTATGTCCCCCAGGGTACTGCCGGAAC